AAGTTATGCCGTGTTATCCAAAGCCTCAAATCAGAAGAAAAACTTAGATTTTCTATTTAGAAGATTTCTTGTCTGTTGTGGGAAGAACAGGCCATATAAGGCTGGTAGCTTGCTCTAAGGTAGTGACAGCAGTGGAGAGAAGTCGGAAAGCAGGGGATATTTGGGCACCTTGGCTGGACTGGCTGGAGCTAAGGATGGGGAGGTGGAGGGTCATGAGATGTAAGTGGGGACAGACTGTACATGGTACCTGGAGCAGTTAAAAGCATTGGTTCAAATTCTGACTACACCGTTTATCAGCTTTGCCTGTGCTTTCTTGTCTGTAAAATGAGATGTTGAAAGTCAGATGTTTGAAAGCCAGTCTAAGTGTCATCTGGGTGACTGCATTTGGAGGAAGAGGGTGGAAATGAGGATTACTCACACACACTCCATACACATTTAGCACTGCACTGTGCCCACAACATAACTCATCAACTTGCAGTGTGGTGTCCCTGAATCCCAGTTTCTATGAAAATAGTGATCTCAAAAGCCTCTTCCAGTGCTGACATCCTATAACTCTTAGCTGTCACCCAGTCCTAAGGCCAGTCATTGTCTGGGACAGGCCTTAATTATGCTCCACACAGGGGCTGAAGCATTCTCTCACTGCCTGTCAAAAGCCAATCTCTTTAATGAATACAGAGATTTCCTCAAAGGGCTCTCTGCACATCCAGTCCTCTCTTTCTCTCCCCCCTCTCCCTCTCCTTAAACCCGTGGTTTTCTGTTTCCCTCAGGATAAAGTCCTGGCTCTGAAGCCTGGCAGCATTCAAAATCTACTTCATGGGACTCGTGTACTGGCTTCATCACCCAAGCCCCTTCCTGTGCCCCAGCTTCAAACGGCTGGAGAACTGTGGCTGAGCACGTTTTCTGGGCCCAGGCTCAGACTTCGCACATGTGGTCTTTCAGCCTGTAAAACCCTCTTCACCTTTCCATCTGCTTTCTCCAGGAGTTTCTCCACTCTCTTCTGGATAGTGTCTTTTTTTAAAAGATTTTATTTATTTTATTTTTTTTAGAGAGGGGAAGGGAGGGAGAAAGAGAGAGAGAGAAACATCAACATGTGGTTGCCTCTCACGTGGCCCCCACTGGCCTGCAACCCAGGGATGTGCCCTGACTAGGAATAGGCCTGTGATGCTTTGGTTCGCAGCCCGTTCTTGGATAGTGTCTTAATGTTAACATGCATGGAAATCACCTGGGAATCTCGTCACAGTGAAGATTTTGACTCAACAGGTCTGGGATGGGACTTGAGATTCTAATAAGTTCCCAGTGATGCCGATAGGGCTGGTCTGTGGACCACACTTCCTGCAGCAAGGGGATGGAGGATAGGCACCACATTTATAGTTGGTGCTGAAAAGAAGGGGGGTTCTGAAAACGTTCAGGGGAGGGAGGCAAGATGGGTAGGTGACCTCTAACTTGTGAGATAGAATTGCATCATGACTAAGAGAACAGGTGTTTTGACAGTGGCAGACTTCCAGTTCAGACCCTGCTTCTGCCATTGATTAGCTGCAGGGCCCTGGAGAGTCGCTTTACTTCTGAGCTTTATTTCCTTATTTATGAAGTGGAGCTCATGATACTTAACCCAAAGGGTTGTGAGAGTTTAAAATGAAAACAGGGGTGAAAAGCATGTAGCACAGTTCCTGGCACATAGACTGCTCCATAAATGGTAGTTGTAATTGTTATTTTAAAGATTTTATTTATGTATTTTTAGAGAGGGCAAGGGAGGGAGAGAGGGAGAGAAACACCAGTGTGTGGTTGCCTCTCATGTGCCCCCTACTGGGGGCCTGGCCTTCAACCCAGGCATGTGCCCTGACTGGAAATCGAACTGGTGATCCTTTGGTTTGCAGGCTGGTGCTTAATCCACTGAGCCACACCAGCCAGGGCTGGTAGTTGTAATTATTAATAAGGAAAGCAGTGGCTAAGGAGGAAACTGGGAATTTTCTCTGGTTAAAAAAAAAATTGTACAGAAAGACAAGATCACTATCTTCAAATACTTGGATTACCATACTACTAAACTACATTGTATGCCCATGGTACCCTCTTGTTATAGTGCAGATACCTTTTACTCTCATTTAAATCTAATAGTTGTAGAATTTAAGACAGGTGAGGTCCTTTAATGACCACCTAGTCTCGTATTTGCCAGTCACCATGTAAGTCGCTCCCCTGCTGGCCTCATTTACTTAATGCTTTTCTTCTTTAAATCCACCTTCATCCACACCATATTACTGATGGAATTGTGGGTTTCACGTTGTCTATTGTTTTTCTAATATCTGTGAGAATGAATACATAAGGACTATAATGAGATAAAAGTGTGCCTACAGAAGACTTAGAATCCTCTTGTGTCCTGTGATGTGTGCATACCTCAAGTTTGGTAATTTTGATCTCACCTAGCCTGCCTCACCTTCCTTGGTTCACCATGGCCTGGGAAGGAGGTGACTTGCCTGGGGTCTCAATGAGCTAGGCTCAGCCCCTCTTACCTTGAGTCCCTGGAGCACCCAAGGCCCCTGTCCTGGAGCTGCAGATAACCAAGAACACTTGTGTGGAGAAGTTCTTCCTAAGTCAGTGAACCCAGCCTAAGGAAGCCCTCAGGCTGGTCAAAGTCATCTGAAAGAAGGGTGTCAAAGAGAAAGGGGCCAGAAGAAATACAGACATAATAGGGAAAGTTCTCTCTGCAAGGGCTGACCTGTAGAAATAAAACCAATAGGTGTCAAAACCCAGGCAAGACAGCAAAGTGTGACCTTGAATTCAGACTGTGCCAAATCTGCTATGGGGAGTTTCTCAGTTTAAAGTATGAACTTGTAGTTTTAACTTTGAATCCCTCTTGGAGTGTAGCAGGGACTTGGAGTCCGTCCTCTGTCACATCTTGGCTGTGCAAGTGCAGGGAAGTACAGTGTAGCCTACTGCATGTTAAGGGTCCTGACCCCCACTGGCTATGGGGATTTCATCTCCTGTGCCTCAGTTTTCTTTCTTCCTTTTTTTTTTCCCCCCACGATTTTATTTATCTATTGTTAGAGGGAAGGCAGAGAGAAAGAGAGGGAGAGAAACATGAATGTGTGAGAGAAACACCCGTCAGCTGCCTCTTCCACATGCTGCTACCAGGGACCAGGCCAGCAACCTTTCTCTTTGAGGCATGATACCCAACCAACTGAGCTACACAGTCAGGGAACACCTCAGTTTTCTCAATTATCAAAGATAACACCTGACTCAAGGGGGTGACAGGAAGATATAGTACAATAATGTATATAAAGTAGCATTGTTGAAGCTGTACACTGTAATGTTGGGATCACTGTTATCACCATATGTACTGTTTAGAGTTCCCTTGGCCGGTCACTAATTTCCCAAACTGCCTTATGCTCCAGTTTCTGAGTAGCGTACCAAAAAGTGACTGCCTTCTTACACAGCATTTTTAAGACCTTGAATTTGTACTCACTGCAACTTAAGAAAAACAAAAAGATGTTAACTGCTTCTTAGCTGTCATTTAGCCTCTGTTAACATGTTTCCTTACGAATAAAATAATAATGTGATAACTATGGGGAGAAGCTGACATTGTCTTTTCCTTCATATGTGCCAAGTATTTATTCATTCATGAAATAATGTATCTAATGGTTTGGCCCATAGAAGATACTCAGCATCACTTTTGCAGGGATGAGCCTTCTCTTTTTTAAGGAGGGAGCCGTATGCCTTCAAAATTCCTTTTCTACTGTTAATATAAAATGTTAACATGATCAGTGTTAATAGTGTTAATAGAATGTTTTTCCTTCACCTCCCTTTTACAAAATGTTTTCTGATTTTACCTCCACAACCCCAGTCTTCATGAGCGTGGCTTGTTTTCAACTCAGGCCTGAGAATTGTATTGGGGTTTTTACCCTTGCCTTCTTCACAGCTTAAAAATGATAGTTGCTTCCTGAGTACCTCATTCAGTCTTAAGGCTTTAAAAACCATCTATGGGCTGATGGCTTCCCAATTAACATGTCTAGTCTAGGACTATCTCCTGAGCTCCAGATGTGTCGAGAATGACAGATCACATCTGTCATCCTCAATGTGACAGGTCTCACATGTCAACTTGTTCTTCCCCAGCCATCCTGGTAGTTGCCAAATTCAAATCCTTGGAGTAATTCTGACTCCTTTTTCTTTATGTCTCCTATCTAATCTATTGATCAAATCTGTTTTCTCAAATGGCAAAATTATATTCAGAAGCAGACCATTTCTCACCACCTTCACTTCTCACCTGTCACCTGGATCTGAGCCACTGTACTCTCTTGCTAGACACTGCAGTACAGTAGCCTCCTCCAAGGGCCCCTGCGTCTGCCCTCTTGCCTTCTGCAACCCCAGCAACCTGATGAAGGCTTTTGAAATGAGTCTGATCTGGTCATGTCCCTACTCAAAACCTTCTGATATCTCCTCTAATGGTTCCGCATCTCATTCATATCGCAAGGCCTTAAGCTGAGAGATCCCCTCCAGGAGCACCCCATGGATTACTCTCCCCCTCATGCATTCTGCCCTAGGCACCTTCTCTTGCTCTTCCTGGAACTTGCAAAACTCCTACCTCAGGGTCTCACTGTTCCCTCTGTAGCCTGCTTTCTCACTTCTCTTAGATCTTTGCTCATGTTACACCAGTAGTTTCTTAATCTTATTAAATTTGCGGCGTCCCCCTACCACCAGCACTCCTTATCCATTCTTCCCAAAAGCAGGAATTTAGAAAATTCAATACTGAATCCCCAGTGCCTAGAATAGAGTCTGGTACATTGTATGTCCTTAATAAATATTTGTTGAATTCATAAAGAGTAGCCAGCATGACGCTGAACATTGTTGACATGTGCATTAATGTAGTATGTAATTTAATGCGCACAGCCGTTCTGAGGCCGGCACCCTTGCTTTCCTGTTTCACACTTGGCTAACTGAAAGATTACAGCTTGCAGGTCCCCGTCCCTCAGGCCTATGGGTCAGGACTGACGTCCTCCCTTTTTCCCCAGGTACCAAGCCAGGCACCAGCACCATCTGCTGACCCGGGGCGCCCACATGCGTGTCCAGACTGTGGCCGAGCTTTTGCACGGCGCTCCACACTAGCCAAGCATTCGCGCACGCACACTGGCGAGCGACCCTTCGCATGCACTGAGTGCGGCCGGGGATTCTCGCAGAAGTCGGCGCTGACCAAGCATGGCCGCACGCACACTGGGGAGCGTCCCTTCACGTGCACCGAGTGCGGCCAGCGCTTCTCGCAGAAGTCGGCTCTGACCAAACACATACGTACGCACACCGGAGAGCGGCCCTACAAGTGCCCTGAGTGCGACAAGCGCTTCTCGGCTGCCTCCAACCTGCAGCAGCACCGGCGGCGCCACACTGGCGAAAAGCCTTATTTATGCACACACTGCGGTCGCCGCTTCGCGCAGAGCTCCAACTACGCACAGCACCTGCGCGTGCACACGGGCGAGAAGCCCTATGCCTGTCCAGACTGTGGACGTGCCTTTGGTGGCAGTTCGTGCCTGGCGCGCCACCGACGCACGCACACAGGTGAGCGGCCTTACGCATGCGCTGACTGCGGTACGCGCTTTGCGCAGAGCTCAGCGCTGGCCAAGCACCGGCGTGTGCACACTGGAGAGAAGCCGCACCGTTGCGCGGTGTGTGGCCGCCGTTTTGGGCACCGCTCCAACCTGGCGGAGCATGCCCGCACGCACACGGGCGAGCGGCCCTACCCGTGTGGCGAGTGCGGCCAGCGTTTCCGCCTCAGCTCACACTTCATTCGCCACCGTCGTGCGCACATGCGGCGCCGTCTCTACATCTGCGCTGGCTGCGGGCGAGACTTCAAGCTACCCTCTGGAGCAACGGCTGACACTGCCTCTGAGCGCTGCCCAGAATGCGAGGGAAGCTGAGCGCAGATCTTGTTGCTGTGAGTTGTGGCTGACTACGGAGGGGTCAGGGACCTGCCTCCTAGGGGCTGAATTAACTTGGGCAATGACTCCAGGTCTCTGGTCTAGGAAAAGCTGTGATGGCAGGCAGGCTGGACCTAGGACGCATGGCGAATCCCCTACTGGAACCCTGGAAACCATGCCCAGTCCTTCTCAGTGCAAATTTTCAGCCTGTGTAAGTAAATAAAGTATTGTCCTCACCCCCATCTGTGCCTGTTAATGAGGTAGATGGGGAAAGGAGCAAAGTTGGGGCCGGGGAAGGCTTAGATGACTTAAGTAAAATGTCACGGAACCAAGTGTGCCTATAAGACCAAAAGGTATTCCTGGGACTCTGTGTGTGTGTGTGTGTGTGTGTGTGTGTGTGTGTGTGTGTGTAATCCCACATTCCTCCCTTGGGTATGTCCTTAACCTTAGATCTGGAAAATTCTATAAATACAGGCATTTGTGATCAGATAATGCATTCCGCAGAGCTTTGGTGAGCTGCCAATGAAGATCATGGAGCTCAGTGTATACAGTTTAAGCTGGCCTTGAAGGCTGACATATAGGGTTGGGGAAATAAATGGAGCATCTGAAACTGCACACTAGTCTTGTTAGATCTTGTTCAGATCCCCAAAAATCAAGGTTAACAGCAGATTGACCTCTAGAGACCTTAGTGGTCAATCCCCTGAGAGGAAGAAAGGATCCGAAGCAGCAAAGAAGCCTTGAGGGATGAGAGGGGAGGGATGCAGTGGACAGACTTAAGGAGCTACAATTTGGGGGAGAAGGAAGATGGGGCTGACCTCATTTCTTAGCTTAGACGATAACAGGTAGTGTCACTGAGATGGTACAAGATGTGTAGGACAGTAGAAGTGGCAACAATTGTGATACCCAGTCCAGACATATTGAATGTGAGGTAAATGTGAAGGGGTCAGGGAGGTGATTGGAAATAACAGTTTGGGGATTATCAGGTCTGCAGTGCATGATACCTCATTCAGAAGACGGTAGCTAAGAAAAATCTGAACAGCCAAAGGTGGAAACAAATCCAGAAGTGTCACACTTGGAAAATCGAGAGGCAAGTTTCACACAGAGTGGTCCGCACAGATTCTGCTCTGGTGCCTGCTGTTTGTAGTTCGCAGAAGTGGGGGCAGTTTCAGTGGAAGGGTACGGATAAAAGCCAGCCTTGAGTGGGTTAGGGTATAAATGGGAGGATGGGGAAGCTAAGTGGCTGGGTATAGACAACCCTTCTCAAGAGGCTTGGCTGTGAAGCTGGGAAAAGTTTATTGGTTTTGTCTACGGGGAGATTAGTTTTTGTGCCGGTGGGAAGGCTAATGGGAAGAGGAGCTGATTGTATTGGGGGGACAGGGAGATAATTGACCAAGGAGCGGGAATGAAATCAAACCAGGAAGGATAAGGCTCCCGCTCTCACTGGTAGGGAGGAGCAGGGTGGTTTGGGAACAAAGCTGAAGCAGTTCCAATCTGGATACTTTTAGCTGGTGAGTTAGAGGTCACTGGTGAAGAGGGATAAGGTCACTAGAGGAATGAGGCCATTAAAGGGGATGATGACTCATCTCACTGATGGGGAAATAGGCCCATAAGGGCAAGAATAATTTAAAGGTCTTTCCCCCCAGCATTACCTCACCCTATGAGGGAGGCAGGTTACAGGCATCTCAGAAAGGAAGCGATGTGCCTGAGGTCACACAACAGATAAATTACACACAACTACCATATCTTTAGGTGTAAAGGTGGGATGAGAAATTGGTCTTGGGAGGGTAAGGGAGGGGGGCAAGAGGCCCAAGCCCAAGAGGAGTGGAAGCCCTGTTCTGTTCCACATCCGAGACCTGACCCTGATTTGCTCTGGGTCCTGAGGCTCAGTCCTGGGCCCGGGCCTGCCTTAACTGGTGACGTTTCCTGCTGTGGGATCCAAATGTTTTGAGTTGAAAGACACATAACTGCAAACTTACTAAGTACCTACTATGTGCCGGGCACTGTCCTAAGCATTCTACCTGCAATAACTGACTTAAACTTTACCGCCCTATCAGGGAGATACTATTATTTTCACTTTAGGTGAAGAAACTGATGAACATCATCCAGCTGGTAAGTATCAAATACAGCATCTGAACTCTGATGTGCTGTCTCGAAAATCTGGGCTGTTACCACTAAGTACAGCCTCCAATCTTCTGTTAGAGGCTCCAAAGGGGAAACAGACCTGCAAGAGATCCCACAGGGGGCCTGCTAGAAATGAGATCTCTGCACAGCAGGTGGGAGGTGCAGCAGAGAAACATGGGAGCTGGGTTCAGAGCAACCCTGCTGCCCCCCTGTAGTACCTGCTGAGACAGCCTCCCCAGGAAGGATCCAGAAGTTGCTAGACAAAACTTTTATTGAGAGAGGAGTACCAAGAAGCTGTCTTCCAGAGGTTCTTGAGCCTCAGACCTCAGACGTTGGGCTGCCAGGCCAGTGAGCTGGAAAGAAAGGGCTAGAATGAGGTTCCATGGCCAGGCAACCACCTGTTCCTCAGATGCCATGCTGAGTTGCAGGTGGTGGGTCCACGGTTCTAGGCTGAGGCCTCCTGGCGTGTGGATTCACAGGCAAGGTCTGTAGTCCCCACGGTCTGGTCTTCAGAGGTGGCCCCATAGGGCAAGTCCGTGTATTTGCGGGAGGAGCCACGGGACAGATGTGCTGGGTAGCGTCGCCGGTTTGTGTCCATCTTGGAGAGCACTGCTTGGGGCAGGTCCACACGGCAGCAGGCTGCTAATGCTACCAGGTAGATGAGGACATCGCTGAGCTCCTCCTGAAGGGCTGCCCGTTCCTTGGGGGGCCAGGTTTGGGGGCCAGGCTCCTCATCAGGCTTCCACTGACTGAGGGTGGAACAAAGGCACAGACACACAGGTGTGACTAGAACAATGGGCTTCCCCTCTCAGAGCACCCCAGTCCTTGTAGCACTCAGCTCCCACCTCCTAGAAATTTCCTTCAAGGACAGCTCAACCCGTCTGGGCCCTGGGTAGAGCCAGGGTGGGGAAGAGACACCAACATATGATTCACCCAGACCTCTGTGTCCTCACCTAAGCCACAGAGTTGGCAAGAGATCATTTTAGTCGTCAAGACCTGATTCTCCTTCTCTCCAGGTCTAGCAACTGCCACCCCCAGACTAAATCTCAGACCTGGACCACTGGAGAAGCCTGCTAACTCATCTTCCACTCCTGCCCGGTATCAGCTTTTAAAAGCACAAATTACATTTTGTCCTTCCTCTGCTGAACCTCCCCTAGCTGTGCTTGGAATAAAATCCAAACTCCTGACCATGCACACCCTCCAGGTCCTGCATGAGCTGACTCCTGCCTCTTCCAATGTCATTATTCACTACTTTCCCAACTCCCCACCTACAAGTCACTCTGGCTTTTTCTGCCTGGCAAACAGGTCAAACTGTACAGGCCTTTGCACTTTGCCTTGAATGATCTTCCCCTGCTCCCCCCAGAGCTTCCCCATGGCTGGCTCCTTCCTGTTGTCATTCAGGTCTCAGCTCACATTTCTCCTCCTTAGAAAAGCTGTCTTCCTGTTTCCTTCCTTCTCACAACCTTGGGTTATTCTCCCTATAGAACTTATCACAATTTCCAATATTTTAACATTAGTTCGCTTATCTGTTGTCCATCTTATTGCACTGTGGAGATGGGAATGATGTGTATCCTTTGGAAGGCCACATCTCTTGACTTTAGAAGACCAAGTACACAGATGGTGCTCATAAATCGGTAATAAATGAACAGCCTGCCCTCACACACACCTCTGTGCCATCCCCACAGTGACTTCACTGGCTTAGACTTCACCACCTCTCCCTGGTCTACACCAGCCCCCCTCACTGGTCTGGTCCCACCCTAGTTCTCTTTCTAAAAAGTTTGTTAATACTCACCCGCAGATATGTTTATTGATTTTACAAAGAGACGAAGGGAGAGGGAGAAAGAGAACATCAATCAGTTACCTCCCCTACATACCCTGACAAGAAATTGAACCCTCACACTTTTGCTTCACAGGAACACGTTTCAACCAACTGAGTAATCCCACCTGGGCTTTCCCTGCCCCAATTCTTCTGGGGACCCAAACCACCCTGCAGGCACAGTGCTCTTTCTACCATTAAAATCTGTTTATGTCTTCTGTCCAAACTCCATCAATTCTTACCCCAATTTTATAATTCTCCATTCTATTCCACCCCTCTCCTCCAGAGCCCTACCAATTATTCAGTAGATATTTACTGAATGTCTGTTGTGTGTCAGGCAGTAAGAAGACAGCAGAGAATGAAACAGATACAAACTCCCATTCACCTCCTGTTTGGTGGTCAGATTCCTAACCAGAATATGGCCCAATTGTAGGGGGACCCCAGTTCTATAGAACGCCTTTCATTCCACCCTAAAGGCAGGGACTAACAGACGGTTACCACCCACCCCTTCTTAGACCTGGATCTGCCTCGCTGTTTTCTCTCCCAGGAAGCTGGGTGCCCCGAGAGGGCAGGGACTCATCTCATTATCACCAGCAGGAAGATCAGACCCTTGCAGTGAGAAGGGGAGATTGAATACATGGATATTTGAAGATCAAATAAATGTCCCCACCCCCACCACATTAAGACTCTTCCAGGAACCCTTTCATTTACTCACAAGAGCTCTGCCAACTCCCCCACTTCCCCCACCAAGGCCAGGAGGAGGTTCCGAGGCTTGTGGAACTGGTCCCAGTCTCTTTCAGCAGCAAACTCAGCATGGAGGCGGCGGCTGGTATGGAAAAAAGGGGTGGAAGCTCAGGTCCCAGGGTTAGGGGTGGGGGAGGACATGCAGGGCCCAGGCAGGTATCTCAGTGATATGTAATGGGGGACATGGGTTTCCAGCGGGAATCTGCAACTAACACCTTAGATGCTCTTAAACAAGCCATCTCTTTTCTATGGGACTATAAAATAGCCAAGCCCCTACGCAGACCCTAAACTCCATGGAAACCTAACAATAACCTCTTCCCCATTCCATCTCCTGCTGCTGCTTCTGCAGTTTCCTCCACCAGACACACCCCTATCTCTGCATCTATATCTATGTCCTGTGTTCTTACAGAGAACATGCAGGTCCACGGCACTGCCCCTAAGAAGCCCTTCTTGGTTTCCTCCAGCAAGATATAAGTGCCTCCCTGCATTTGCCACGTTCTACCTCCCACTCCTGGTGGGCAGCAAGGAACTAGCATTTCCCCTCAGGGCTGCTTCTAACATTCTTCACCTGGCGTCACCATTTACCCTGCCTCGCGTGTACATCACTAAGCCCATTTTGTATATGAGGGTAGAAAGTTCGGCTGAGGTCAGATAGCAGAGCTGGAACCCGAGAGATGGGTAGGAGCACAGGGGCTAGCTTCCGACCACGCGGAGGGACCCTCCCCAATAAAAGGGAGAAAGGTGGGCGATTAACCATCCCAGGCTGGGCAAAGACATCTTACATGTCCTCGATCGTGGGCTCCGGGCTGAAGCCTAAAAGCCCGGAGGCATCAGTGCTCTCTCCTCCGGCTTTTCCCCACCAACACTGGACCGGTTGCTCTGCGCCCTGCAGGCAGGACCGCACGGAGGAAACTGGCGCTCAGCTTGGGGCCCGCCTCCAAGGGGCTCTGACCAATCACAGGTCAGGTTAGCGATTGCTTCCCTGGACGGAGCCGCAGGAAGGCCCATCACTTCTGTGGAGTTTGCTATAGCCCGCCCCTTATGCGGCCTGGACCAACTGAGCAAATTTCAAGTATGAGCTCTTAGACCTCTGCCTTCCACTGTTTTCAGACGTGACCAAGTATCTTAAAGGTGTAGGTATTGCCCCAGTTACCACCAGGGGAGGAGACAGAAAGCCGAGGGGGAGAAAGAAAGCCGAGGAGGAGAGAGCGCTGGCGCGTCGCTTCACTTTTGGCCCTGCAAAGGACCACGGTGGAAGGAGGGGGCCGCTCCGTCTAAACCGTAGGAAATGCAGGGTGTTAGCAAGGAGGCAATTTATTGTACGGCTACAAGAATATTTCCAGAATACAGCTGGGCTCTAGGAAGAACTGACACCAGGGCAGCTGTTTTAAGCATTTCACTTATTTAGGCCTCACAACAGTAGGTAATACCATCATCATCCTCATTCCTATTTTACCGAAATTACATTGAGTAATTTAATCGGCTAGGAAAGTGGTAGCCAGGTTTCAAATTCAGTTTGGCCTCCAAGTCTGTTTGGCGTACACTATATTGCATCAAATGGTGATAAGTACTATGAAAACAAATTTAAACGTATTTAAACATTATGCAAAGCGAGGGCAACTTTAGGTTGCATGGTCCAGGGAAGATGCGGTAAAACATTGTTGGTTACCTCCTCAGCTGCCCATTTCATGCCTCTGTCTTTGAAGAACCGTGATTATATTCTGGGGTACACCCTTCTCTACTAGGTTGATCATGTGTCTGTCTCCTTTGCCCTGCCATCGGTCGCCTTATGGGGTGAGCATGTGGCCCATTCTTGACAATGAGCAGTTACAGGAAGTACATTAGAGACTTTGGGGGGAGGTTCTTAGTTCTTTTTCAAAAAAGGACAGGAAGTTTCTACCTTTGATGTTGGTATGTGAGGAATGGATTGAGAGGAGAGCTAGCCCAGGAGCTGAGACTGGTAGATGGCAAGATACAAAAGACTTGAGTCCTTGATAATATTGCTGGGCCACTTTTTTTATTTTTTTTTACAAGTTCCAGAAATGACCTAATTTAGGATGCTGGCTATGTAAGTTAATAAATCGCTCTGTTGGTCAAGTCACTCTTAATTGGTTTTTCTGTTATTTGCCTTTGAGAAATGACATTTAAGCCAAGCAAAAATCGAGTGGACTAGAATTCTAGGTAGAGGGAACCCCAATGCTTAAAGCAGGAAAGATTCATCATGTTCTGAAGACAAAGGAATTCCAGTATAGCAGGGATGTAGTGAGGAAGGGAGAGAGTGGTTGGGTATGGTTTTAGAGAAGTAAACCGAGGCCAGGTTACTGGCCATGTAGCCATGAATTTTCTATTACTTTGGATTTTAAGTATTACAGAAGCCCTCTGGGGGGTCTTAGGGAGGGGAGCCATATAATCATATTTTGTATTTATGAGCCCTCTGTCTGCTGTGTCCAGGACGAATTGGAGGAGGGCAAGAGTAGAAGGAGGGAGATGGGTTACTGCAGTTGCCAGGCCAAAGATGATGGTGATTTGGGCCAGGCCGATGGTGGGCACAGGTGGAGAGAAGTGGATGATTGGGAAGATATTTTGGAGGTACATCTATACATGGGCTTTGTTGGTATTGAAGTACAGGGAGGGGAGAAAGGGTAGAATCGAGCATGGTTTACAGGTTGTGAATGTTGAACAATGTAGTGGATAGATGACTCATACTGGGATGAAGAAGATGAGGTGCAGGATTGAACACACATGGCCTCAGCAGTTTGATTTATGACAAAGGAAATTGAAGATGCATGTCAAGTAGGCAGGTGTGTTTGAGCCTAAGCTTTAAATTAAAAACAATTTAAAATATGTTTATTGATTTGAGAGAGAGAGAGAGAAAGAAACATTAATTGGTTGTCTCCCATACATGGCCCACCCAGAGATCAAACCCATAACCAAGGTACATGCACTGATTGCGAATTGACTCCCCACACTTTGAGTGTAGAGCATGACTCACCAACCAACTGAGCAACACTGGCCGGGGCTATGAGCCTAATCTTCAGTGGAGAGATAGGAGAGATCCAGATTTGGTGGCCTCAGACATTTAGACAGTACTTGAAAGCCATGGAACTGCAGAAGCATAACTAATACAAGAATCTGGGCAGACAACACCGGACCTGGAGTACTCTGACAATTAGCGGTTGAGCAATGGAGAAGAGGCAGGTGAGGCAGGAAGAAAATTGGCCAAGTGTGTTGTTAAGGAAGCTAAGAGAGGAGAGTGTTCCAGAATGAGTGGACACTTGATTTGGATGCTGCTGAGCTACTGGGTTAGGTGAGAGCACTGAATTTGCCCCTGGATTAGGCATCATGGAAGTTGGATAGGGGACACAGGAGAATAGAGGGAGTCCTGGGTAACTGTTTTGAGTTTCTGGCTTGAGCAAATAGTTGGGTAGTTTGGCCAACTGCTGAAGAGACGACACAGGATCCGTGGGAAGTTGGGGGTGGGAGGGAAGATGACAAATTTAGTTTGGGACACATGGAGAGTTAGTTGGCTCTAGGGCATCCAGATGATGTGCAGCGGGCAGGTAGACACACAGGCCTGACGTTCAGAGCAGTGAGCTATGTTAGGGGTCTGTGAACTGGAAGTTTCAGGAGCCAAGGACCTCCCCCAGCACCTTCCTTGGTGTTTGCTAAGCTTCTCATATAAAAACCCAACTCTTTTACTGGAATATAAAACACACTTGGAGAGCAACTTTTTCAGGAGTCTTCTGCACCTCAGAGTTTTTGAAGAGCCAGGGACTGGGACTTCTAGAGCTCACAAGTCAGATGGTCTTTGGGGACTGACAGAAAGGAGGAGGCATTCTCTCTGGGAATGTCTCTACCTTCCTCCCATGAGACCTGCGAGTGATCTGTAAGGCTCTTGTGAAGTTTCCTTCAGAGACATCTAAGTTCTTTGCTTCACAGCATCATCCTCTGAAGACCAACCAACCCCAGCCACAGTACAGGACATAACTGGAGGGCAGGGGAGGCTCTCATGAGGGAGAGGGAACAGACCTGAACATATGATTGTACCTATCACCTAGACTTCTCATCCCAGACTCTTTCCACACCCTCAGCCCCACATGCAGTCAGTTTTCTCCATTCCTCTCAGCAATATCTAGGCCATGGGACCTTCCTGCTTTAGTCAGTGTGCTTGGTCTTGTCTTTTGGTCCACCTTTGTGATTGGCCCTGTATAAGCCTACCCCCTGCCCCCCCCAAAGATTGGACTGGGTGTCCTAGTCTTCCCAAACTAAAGATGTTTCCCAAGTGCAGGCCAATAAATGTTTAATGTAGGATGGATGGGTGGAGACAGACAAACGTGTGCATCAACACACATGGCCTTCTCCTGCTCAGAAGTGTTTGGCCACCTTCCCCATTAAAGTCAAGCTGTGCCACTGCTCTTTGGGAAGCCCTGGAGAGTGGAAGAGGTGGCAGCAGCTGGACCACAAAGTAGCAGAGGCCCATTAGCTGGTTGGGTGGGAGAACCTGGGCCAGTCAGAGATCCCAGAGACCACACAGTATGATGGGAACTGGGAGTCAGGTGGCTGGGACCCTATTGACCAATGCCCTTGGGAAGATTGTTTCCCTTCCTGAGCCTCAATTCCCCATGTATATAATGATGGCCTCCAAGGACCCTTCATGGTGTGCTGGGAGGACCAGGGCAATATGTATTGTGTTCATGGTTGTATCTCCAAATTATCACAGTGCTGTTCTTCCTGGAGGCAGAGCCATAGGGCTTGATAGTTTTGTACTGGGGGAAGGGAGAAAGAGTGTTGCTATAATTAAAAGGGTTTGTTTTTATTAAATGTTTCAGGGTGAGTCATGACAGAGGCTTTTTAGGAATCTCTGCCTTAGCCTGTTTGGGATAAGTCACCAACACTCTTTAGAACTCCTTCCCTGACTTATTTATCCAGCCTTGCCCCCCTCCACACATGCTGAAATCCAGCCAGACATTCCCTGCTCTCCCACTTCCTGCCTTAGCTCATGCAGTCCACTGCTTCTGGAATGCCCATTACCCTTCTCTGCATATCCAATTCCAAATTCCCCCCAATCTGCAGAGCCATTCTTCAAAGCCACCTCCTCTGGGAAGACCTCCATGACTTCTTTCCCAAAGGAGGTAACTTTGTTTTCTTTTTTAAAAATAGTATTTTATTGATTATGTATTCCATTTTCCCCCATTTATCCCCCTTGGCCTTCCTCCACCCAGCACCACCCCCGACTCACTCAGGTAATCCCCACACCATTGTTCAATCCATGGCTCATGGATATATGTTCTGTGGATGGTCCATTCCTATTCTGTACTTTACATTCCCCATGCCTATTCTGTAGCTATCTATTTGTACTTCTTTATCCTCTTCACCCATTTCCCCACACCCCTCCCATCTGGCAAGCATCAAAACACTCCCTGTATCCATGATTCTCTCTGTGTTCCTCTTGTTAGTTTAGTTTGTCTTTTAGATTCAATTGTTGATAGACATGTATTTGTTGACATTTTATTTATAGTGTTGATCTTTTTCCCAAAAAAGTCCCTTTAACATTTCATATAATAATAGTTTGCTGATAATGAACTCCTTTTTTTTTAATTTGGTCTGGGAAGCTCTTTATCTGCCCTTCAATTCTAAATGATAGATTTGCTGAGTAGTGTAATCTTGGTTGTAGGTTCCTGCTTTTCCTAACTTCAACTTTCTCTTGCCAATCCATTCTGGCCTGAAAAGTTGCTTTTGAGGAATCAGGTGACAGTCTTATGAGAGCTCTCCTGTAGGTAACTAAGTGCTTTTCTCTTGCTGCTTTTAAGAATCTCTCTTTATCTTTCTTAGGTTAAGAAAGGTTAAGAATCCCTCTTAACCTTTGGCATTTTAATCATGATGTGTCTTGGAATGTGCCTCTTTGCATCCATCTTGTTTGGGACTCTCTTTGCTCCCTGGACTTGCATGGCTATTTCTTTCACCAAATTAGGGAAGTTTTCTTTCATTATTGTTTCAAACAGATTTCCAAGTCCTTGCTCCTTCTCTTCTCCTCCTGGCACCCCTATGATGTGAATGCTGGAACGCTTGAAGTTGTCCCAGAGGCTGCTTACACTATCCTCATGTTTTTGGATTCTTTTTTCTTTTTGTTGTCCTGATTGCTTATTTTTTGCTTCCTTATGCTCCAAATCATTGCTCTGATTGTTGGCTTCATCCACTGTACTGTTGCTTCCCTGTAAGTTGTTCTTTACTTCAATTAGTGTGTCCTTTGTTTCTGACTGGGACTTTTTTATGCTGTTGAGGTCCTCACTAAGTTCCTTGAGCATCCTAATGACTTGTGTTTTGAACTCTGCATCTGATAGACTGTTCATCTCTATTTTGTTTAGTTCTTTCTTCTGGAATTTTGATCTGTTCTTTCATCTGGGCCATGTTTCTTTGTCCCCTCGTTTTGGCAACCTCCCTGTGTTTGTTGCTCTGTATTTGGTAGAGCTTCTATGACTCTCTGTCTTGGTAGCATGACCTAATGTAGTTGGTGTCACATAGGGTCAATTGGCACAGCCTCCCATAGCACCCAGTTTGGGTGCTCAAGGTATGCCCTTCATGTGGGCTGAACACACCCTCCTCTTGCAGTTGAGCCTTGATTGCTGTGGGCAGGTCACTGGGAGGGATTTACCCAGGCCAGTCAGCTGCAAAGACTGGCTGTGAGCACTGACCACCAAGTTAGTTATCTGTAGCAGTTCACCCACACTAGCTCTCTTGGTACTACCACTTTTCAGCTTATTTTGGAGATGCCTGATGTCCCTTTTCTAGATGTCACTCCAGAGTGGGTCTCCTGGAGAACAGAAGCAGTGTCAGGCATTTGTTTCTCCAGGGCCTGTACTTGACTAGATCAAACAAATATTAACTGATGGAAGTATGTCCTATGGGATCTACACTCTGACTCCCCTGCTCTAAGTGGGTATGGCTGCACCTGTTTAATGGATGAGAAGACCGAGACCCAGAGACTCGTCTGAAATTGCCCAGAAAGGCATAGGCTGCAGCGCATCACAGTCTTCCGTGCTCCTCAGCAAATGAAAGGAGTCTCCCCTACTCCAGCAAGGGAGTAAAGGAGGCCACTCACACGTGCGTGGTCTGTGCTAAGGTCACCTACTTACTCACTGGCTTTTCTTCTGCCTTTCTGTCCCTTTTCTTCATCTTCCTCAAGCTTCAACTTCCCTTTTTCTTTTGTACCTTTGGCTCCCTTTTCCTTTTCTTCCTCTTCCTTTTCCTTCATTGCCTTCCTTACCTTTGTTTGTACCTGTGATTCTTTTCTAATATCTGCCCAAGGCACTGCTACCTTAATTTTGATGCCCAGACCCCAACAAGGGAATGTTGGATACGCACTTGCTCTGAACCCCTCTTCCTTTCTAAATTAACTAAGAGAGCCCAGGCCAGGGAAGTCCCAGTCATTTTCCTCCCCTTTCTACTACCCACCCCAAGCTCGAAAATGAACCAGTTAGAGAGCTGTGTAAGTGGGCAAACAGAACCAGTGTTCAGATTTCTTTCCCAAAGACTTGCTTTAAGAGATTGGTGGTCTCAGCTTCTACTGCCAGGAGACAACAGGAGCAAGGAAAGTTTGAACATAGAGGGTCACTGCTCTAGATGCTTGGGAATACAGAACATCCCCTGCTATCTTGGAGTTTATATGCTAGCAGAGAGAGATAATTATAAAGTAAACTAGAAAAGTCCCAAGATTATTACAGATTAGGATAAGAGATATGAAGCCAATTAATAGGTAGAGTTAGCTAAGTGTTGGATAAGGTAAGATGGGGCTTTTATGAAGAGGATTTGAGTTGAGCCAGGACTGTGAGTGAGCCAGCCAGGTAGAGAGCCTGAGGTGAGGCTCCAGATGGAGGGAACTGGGAGCACAAAGGATCCTGGTTTGTTTAAAGCACCATGGAAAGGTTCATGGGCTAGAGTTTGCTGAGAGGGGCAGGGGCAGTGCCATGAGATAAAGTTGGAGATATGTAGCAGGAACTTTATGGAAAGCCATTTAAGAGCTTTGTGCAGAAGAAAAACTGATGTGATCAATCAGTTATCTTTTTTTGTTAAAGTGTATTTACTTTATTAGCTATGTAAATACTTACTGCTATGGAGATCACATGGAGGGTTATCAGCAGGGAGGTGGAGGGTGGAAAATGGGGGAAAAGGTACAGGGAATAAGTAGTATAAATGGTAGGTACAAAATAGACAGGGGGAGGTTAAGAATAGTATAGGAAATAGAAAAACCAAAGAACTTATATGTATGTATGACCCATGGACATGAAGTCGGAGGGTGGGGAAAGCAGGTGGGAGGGAGGGCAATAAAGGTGGGTAAATGGGACAACTGTAATAGCATAAGCAATAAAATATATTCAAAAGAAAAAAGAATAAATAAAAATTCATTGCTGGGTACTGTATATGATTATATTTAATTTGTTATACAAGGTTTTGGTTTGGCCAGAGTCGATCTGCCTCATTCTTTTAATCTTTGCTGGTTTCTATATTGTTGTTACATGCTATTGGTCAGCTCCAAGTCCTGGCTTGAATGAGTGATGTCCACAATGTCCTGCCCCTGGCAGCCCTGCTCAGCTCCTGTAGACTCATGGCTATGGCTCCTTTTACTGAGTTGATCCATCTCATATTTCATCTTCCTCTTTTCCTGCTGCCTTCTATTCTTCCCAGCATGATCGCCTTTTCCAAAGTACCCTGCCTTCTCATGCTGTGCCCGAAGTAGGACAGATTCAATTTTGTCATTTTTGCCTCCCCTGATGTTTCAGGCTTAATTTGCTCTAGGACCCAGTTGTTTTCTATATAATTATCACTACTTCTTTTTACATCTTCCATTAACTTTCCAATACAACATTTTACAAAATTAAATGCATCGTTATTGCATCCATTCCACTTTCCTTTTCCGAAAAGGAAAGCCTCCCAGGCCCCCGTTCCAGCATGGACTGTTGTTCTCCAGGCCTGCTCTACCTAGATACCTCCCTTCACCTTCCTCCTCTGCTGAGTTGCATTTCCTGAACCCCATGTTTTTTCTTTCTTGGTTTGCTCCCTTGTTTTGCAGGAGTACATCTCCCAGTGGTTTCTTGAGAAAGAGTGCATGGGCTGAAACCACTTGGACACCTAACATGTCTATAAATATCTTTATGCTACATTTTTGAAAAATGTGGGTAGGTATAAAAGTATACATAGCAAAGTATTTACTCTGAGAATTTTGAAGGGATTTCTTCATTGGCTTTTAGCTTCCAATTTGCTGTTGAGAAGTCTGATTCCATTCTTATTCCCAAAGTTTTGTATGTGATCTTCCCCTCTCTCCAGAAGATTTTAGGAGAGCATAGTGATTAGAAGCATGGACTGTGGACTTAGACCACCTAGAAGACTGCCTGTGTAACCTTGGGCAAATTTCTTAATCTCTCTGCACCTCAGCTTCCTTATTTACAAAATGAGGTTGTTGGAACTTGTTATTTATTGATCTTTAGAGAGAGAAAGAGGGAGGGAGGGAGAGGGGCAGAGAGAGCGAGAGAGTGAGACAGAGAGACAGAGAGATTGATTCATTTGTTGTTACACTTATTTATGCATTCATTGGTTGATTTTGTATGTGGCCTGGCTGGGTTTTGAACCTGCAAACTTGGTGTATCGGGACCAACTGTCTAAGTGAGCTACCCAACCAAGGCCAGTTATTGGAATTTTAAACGAGTTGATACATATCAAACACTTGGCACAGTGCCTGGCAAAGAGTATCTACTATGTAAACATTTATTATTATTATTATAGGTTCTCTTTATTAAATTTGAATAATAAAATTAGTGTCTTTTTTACTCACCATGCTGGGTAACAAGAGGTAGTTACACAGCTTTTGAGTTTCATAAAACTTTCTTGTATTAGTCTTTGGTAAATTTTCTTTCTTCTCTCTGCTTTATTACTTCTTCCTGGAATGCCTCTTAGATGTTGAACATCCAGGCTCACCTGTGATTTTCATATTTCTCCTCCTATTGTATATCTTTTTTTAAAGACATTTTATTTATTTATTTTTAGACTGAGGGGAAGGGAGGGAGAAAGAGAGGGACAGAAACATCAATGTGTGGTTGCCTCTTGCCCTTCCCACACCGTGGGGAACCTGGCCTGCAACCCAGGCATGTGCCCTGACTGGGAATCGAACCAGCAACACTCTGCCTCACAGGCCTGTGCTCAATCCACTGAGCCACACCAGTCAGGGCTGTGTATCTTTCTTTGGTTCTACTTTCTGGTCAATTTCCTCAGCTTATCTTGTATGTCTTCTGCTAAATTTTAAAATCGTAGCTGTACTTTCTGTTCTAAGTGCTTTGTTCCTATCTCTTTATGAATACTTTACCTTCTTTTATGTCTGCCTTCTGGTTTTTCTCCCATTCCCTATATTGTCCCTTTCCTGAATTTTTTTGTTGTAAGCTGTCTTCCTTCAAGTTGGAGGCTTGCCTCAGATGACTGCTCATTTTTAAGAATTAGGTATTAAAAAGAATGTGCTTGAGTGAAGCTTTTCAACTGGGAGGTTTCCACACACAGGGATTTTGACTGGGGGGCTCCTTAAATGTTTCTATTTATAGGCCTTTTGGTGGGGGGGGGGCACATTCATTTTCTCCAGTAGTGGTATAAGCTTCCTGCAGTGTGTTTTTAACAGCTGAGGAAGGGGTTTGGGGCCTCATTTTCCAGGTTTTATTCTGTTTTGGGTCAGGCCCCCTGTCTTCTGGTGTGCCTAGTAGCTCTGATTTTGCAGTACTTTTTTTTTTTCATTCACATTTTTCCAGAGTATAAACCTCCCTTTACCTGCCAAGGTGAGGAGCAGTCTTCTCCCCGCCATTTGAATAGGGGAGATGTTTCAGAACGTCAAAGATATAATTACCCTGGATAAACTTTCAAGGAGTATGTTTTTACACCCACCTTTGATCCCACCTGCCCTAGTACCTCTGGGGCATATCTCCTCACTGCCGGTTAGTATTCCCCAACTCTGAAGGCATTTACACTTTGGCTTCTTCTCTTCTGCTAAGTCAGTTACCCCTCTTCCACCTACTTTTCATTTTCCAACAACTGTGGACACTTTTGCTATTTCCTCTCCCACCTTCTAGCCCCTGGGGTTTCTTATGCTGTTGAGTCCTTTTCTGTCAACTCAGGGGAAGATGCAAACCTAAATCTGGGTGTTAAATCCCCTGGTCCAGGACTGGAGAAAACATGAGAAAACTCTCTACTTTGCCAGACTCTAAATGTATCAGTTGATTCATTTTTATCAGACTTTAAAAGACTCAGAATTCCAAGGATCCAAACATTAGCCAGAAGAATTTCCAACAAAGTCCTTTTAATTTATTACACTAGAAATCATGTCGCTGACTAAATCACCAGGAATTTTCAGCACAAAGTTTAACATCTCAGTGACCACCAAGGCCTGGGCTCTGGGGCTAGCTCTGCCTCTCCCAGTCCTTAAAGGGGTTTAGAGGGAGAGACTTCATTAACAGAGACCAAGTCAGTGGTTGCAGGTCCTCCTTTCCCAGTCACTGGACAAGCTGCTCAACTCTTGTCCAGAGCAGGAAAGAGACAGTATTTCAGAAAAATCTAATCAAGAATCTGACACTGCATTATAAGATCTTTCTCAACAGTTTAGATTTATCAACTCTATTAATCCAAATTTATTTGCTTCTGATATTTCCCCCCTGGCACTTCCCTCAAACTGGAATAACCTCATTTTGCTCTTGGAAAGAGGAAACAGGTTTTTCTGCTCCTCTTCCAAGCAGAAATTGAACAAACCTCCCCACCGAAGTCCAAAATGTTACTTTTGGCCCTGGAATGTGCAGTTTGTGACGGGCTGATTGAAATCACCTAGAAAGGGCAACTGTGCAACTGATATTCGGGCAGCCGCCTCTGGAAATTTGTTCCTAAAATCAACTCTTGAGAATCATCCATGACTGCGTACAAAGGCTCCAAGGTCCAAACAACTTCTGCTACTCCATCTCACAAGCTCGGCTCAGAAGAGGCACTGGAATTGTCGTGGGCAAGAGCCGCGGCGGTGGTCCCACGAGGTAGGACCTCAATAACCCGAGGCTTGTCAATGATCCTGGCCGTCCGGTTTCCCTTTTCCACAATGCCCACGATCCATGCTTGGTGACCCTCCCCATACTTGGAAGACTTGATTTCAGAACAAAAGCGAGCAGCCTGTTCCCTTGGCAAGCAAATCAGCAACCCCCCAGAAGTTTCTGCTGAGGTTCCCTGAAGGAGCCCAAAGCGCCCACTGGCCTTGCTGATGGCAGCCATCTTGGCAATGATTGGCAGATTATGAATGACAAAGGAAACCTCATTTCTCTGTTGTTTTGCAAGGTTCTGAGAGTGTCCCAGAATACCAAAGCCTGTGATATCCGTGGCGGCATGGGCATTAAATGTGTGCATTAACCCAGCAGCAGTTCTGTTTAGGGTAGCCATGTTGAACATGGCTTCCTGATAAGCCAGCTCTACCTCTTCTTTGGACACCACCATCTTTATCTTATTCCATCTTTCAGGATTGTCCAGCCATTGGTGGGCATTGACAGCAACTTGGGTGCCTAAGGGTTTGGTTAACACCAGCACATCCCCAACAACTGCACTGTCAGGCATTATGAATTCATTTGGCTGACACACCACAGTGGCAACCCCACCCACGATAATCCAAGGGTTTACCACAGTTTGTCCACCAGTCACTGCAGTCCCTCCTTCCTCGGCAGCATCGCGAAAGCCTTTGATCATGAGTGGGGTTATCTTTTCTCGTTCCTCTTCAGACATATTCTGGCTGACGCTGAGTAACATCAACATGTTGTCACACTCAGTGATGCCCATGGCATAGAGGTCACTCAGCACATTGGCACAAGCTATGCGTCCCATCATGTAGGGATCTTCCACCAAGGGGTAAAAGAAGTCTGTGGTTTGCACCAGCGACAGGCCTCCGTGCCTCAGGGGTATGACACAGGAGTCCAAGCCAATGCCCAGGGCTGGAAAACTTGGGCTGGATTCCGCCATGACCGGCAGGCCGGCCTCCTGGGCAGCCTCCTCCTGGCCTCCGACCGGTCCCCGGCCCAGCGGGGCCCGCACGTCCGGCCGCGTCAGTCCCGCCAGGAGTTTGAGCAGCGTCTCCTGGGGGACCTTGCAGCCTCAGCCTTTCATGCCTGAGAAGCCGGTCAGCCGCCAGCTGGGGCTGAGGCCCAGCGCCTGGGGCTCGAAGGGCCGGTAGCTCGAGAAGCCGCGACCCAAAGACCAGCCCGCGGCTCCCGCGGAGCCTTCCACCGCCGCCGCCGCCGCCGCCACCGCCGCCACGGCCTCCCCGCTGGCTCCAGTCACTGCGGTTTCTGCCATTACGCCTGCCGGGCAGGGAAGGAGAAGAGGAGACGTCCCTTTTATTTTCTACTCCACTTAGTACGGAGTGCCGTCAGATATTACCGCAGAGACGGTAACCCACGCGCTTCCTTCGCCCGGAGGGACTCAAGCCACGCCCCACCGCCCTGGCCTTCCTGAGTGAGCAACCGACAGCCACTCATATAGAGTCCCTGCTGATTGACAGTCGTTCTATCCAATAACGGCCTTGCCACGGAGAGGCGGGCTTCCTTTGGTCTAAAAGACTTAAAGCATTACAAAATCGACCACCAACTTTCGAAATTTGGTCCCGGGTAGATTCCAGAGCAAGTGCTTTGGTTTGCTCCGGGTGTTGTGAATTGAGTGACCTTTAAGGGGTGAAGGTGGCTGACGGAGCTCGGCTCCCCTAGAGGCTGTTTACCAAGTACCGCCTTTTGAAAGACTAGGGAAGATCCATAGCTTGCAAACCTCTAGCCGGCCAGAATTGTCCAAAGGTCACTTGACAGCAAGCATGATCAATTCGGGGTAAGAAAATAGCCAGTGGAAAAAAATCGAAAAGAATAATAGGAAATTAGATAAGCAAACTGCAAAGTCAAAATAATGATCGTAAGAGTGCTGGAGGTGGGTTGTACAGCAATGGGAATTTATGTGTATTTTGTTATAACTAAAAATATTGAAACTAGCCCTTTCCAGTGTGGCTCAGTTGGTTGAGCATCTTCCCCACAAACCAAAAGGTCGCAGGTTTGATTCTTGGGCAGGGCACATGCCTAGTTTGAGGGTTTGGTTCCTTATCAGGGCACTTATGAAGGGAAACCAAGTTATGTATCTCTCCCTCTTTTTCTCCCTCCCTTCCCCTGTCTAAACCTTCTCTCCCTTCCTCTCTCAATAAAAGCAATAGAAGAAAAATATCCCTGGGTGAGGGTAAAATACATATGTGACCTACTAAATATCTTATAGTACATGATTACGCTGGTTTATTAGTGCACAGCATAGTATTAAGTGATGGAGCGAATTGGAAGGAACCTGGATGTCAGAATTAGACTCAGTTGCAATGTTGGCTTGGGTGAATTGACCTTAGGTGAATTGTCTAGCCTCTAGGAACCTCAGTTTCTATTGCCTATAAAATAGTCCTTTTACCTTTGAAGATAATCCATACCAGATAGGAATGTTATGACAATTAAATTTTAAAAATGTGTGTAAAACAGCTAACATAGTTCCTGACTAATTGTAAACTGAAAATAAATGGTAGAACCTATTATATATTGCTGTTAATGTTGATATAGGACCTGAATTTAAACTCACAAAACTTATAACATCGTGGAAAGGTTTTTATAAAAATAAATGCATTTATCTTCCTTAACAGAAAGAATAGCTAAAACAGCAAAACACAGGAAATAACTCAAGTGTCTGTTTAAAAGGGGAATATATAAATAAATGTGGTATCATCATAGTGAAATATTATTTATTTGTGAAAATGAATTATAGGTCTATGAATCAATATGGATAATATCAAAAGCAAAATGTTGGGAATAAGAGGCAGGTTAGAGAATAATACAAAAACTAAGGTGCCATTTATCTAAGTTCAACACCAGGCAAAGCAATAATATATTAAGACAGACATAAATGATAAAAAATGTTTTTAAAAGGTAAGAGTGAATGAATAACAAAATTTAAAATAGGGATTACTTTTGGGGAAGGGTACATAGAGGGATCTCTGAGGTATGTTAAATTCTGTTCTTCCTCCTGGGTGGTAGTTACAAGGTGTTCTCTAAACCATACACATATATTTTCCTACACCTTTTTGTAAGTAAGGTATATTTTAACATTAAAAAATGAAAGCTTCTATATTTCAGAATAAAAATTCAAAAAGAAAAAAATGAGATCATGAAAAAGCAATAGATATGGAAGCAAAAGACCTCTGGATTTTGTCTTACCTTTGGACAGCTATCAGTGAGGTGTCTGGCTTTGTGGAAGTTACCGTATTTTGCCATGTATAATGTGCTCCCATGTATACTGTACACCCACAGTTTTCACCCAAACTTTCAGGAAACCAATCTTTCACTTCAATTATTTATTTATATTTAGATACTTGTTTTTTGTATTTCTAAAAGATTTCATTTATTTCTTTTTAGAGAGAGGGGAAGGGAGGGAGAAAGAGAGAAAGAGAAACATAGATGTGTGGTTGCCTCTCACATGTGCCTGGATTGTGGACCTGGCCTGCAACCCAGGCATGTGTTCAGACTGGGAATCCAACCAGCGACTCTTTGGTTCGCAGGCTGGTGCTCAATCCATGGAGCCACAACAGCCAGGGCTGCATTTTGTATTTTTAAAAAAGATTTTATGTATTTAGTTTTAGAGGAATGGGAAGGGAGGGAGAAGGAAAGGGAGAGAAACATCGATGTGTGAGACATACATGGACTGGTTGCCCCTTGCATGCCCCCAACTACAGACCTGGCCCCCAGCCCAGGCATGTGCCCTAACTGGGATTCAAACCAGCGACCTTTTGGTTTGTAGGCTGGTGCTCAATCCATTGAGCCACACCAGCCAGGGCTATTTTTTTTTGTATTATAAAGGAATTTTAGCTTTTATTTTTGAACATATTATGGTACAAGAAATTTTATGTAACAAATAATTATAAAACATAAGAACAGATACAAGGTATTTAGGTACTACTGATATATAATGCTCATCCTTATTTTTCCTCAAAAATTTGGGCAAAAAAGTACACTTTATACATAGCAAAATATGGTATATAACCTCTCTAAACCTTGTTTTCCACTTCTGTAAAATGAAGGTCATAATCTCTGCTTAGGATCTTGTGAGAGGATCATATATGAAAACCTCAACTATGAAAAGTTCTTTGCAAAATGTTCAGCATATTGTACACGTGAAGGATCCTCACGTCACTAAAGGAAAACAAAAACATTCTACCTGTAGTTACCTCACCTAGGTTAAAAAGTGACTAGCTCAGTTGCCCCTGGTTATTTGCTCTCTCCTTTGGACTTTTCCCTCTGGACTTTCCCCTCTCTGCATTTATCACATTTTTTTATTCCTTTTTTCTTCTAAGTTTTTATTAACTCGACTTTTAAAAAACAAGCATCCATACCAGGTGGGGAGTGAGGGTGGGAGAGTGGGGAGGGGAAGGGAGGGCAGGCCAGGGGGAAAGAATTCTGCTCTATTGGAAATAAAGCTCCAGGTTTATCCCATCATGGATTTCATCTCCAATTTGTAGTTCTTTATCCATGTAATTACACCGTGACTCTCTGTCTGCCCCACTAGCCTGTGAGCACCACGAGGCAGGGACTACAGTGTTTTGCCCACCCTGGTTTGTCTAGCACTTTATGTGGTAATAACATTTGTTGAATGAATATGTCATTTTATACATTACACTGCCGAGCACATATGATGAGCATTTCACATTTATTTACCTCCACATTGGTGTCACAGGAGATTAGCATTATTATCTCCATTTTACAGATGAGAAAACTGAGGTTCCATATAGGTTAAGAGTCTTGCAGAGGGTCACCATCTGGAAACCAACCTGTGAGAATTCAGACCCAGGTCTCTTTGAACTGAAGACAGGCATTCTATCCTTCATCCTGAGGTCTCCCTCGATAATTACAATAAACCTTACCATACCCCTTGAGTAACCAGGACTCTTTTAGGAAAAGTTTTCATTCTCATAGTTCCCTGTTGCTTCTACTTGGAAACCATGTTCACTTGGACCAGTGCACAGAATCTAGTCATGAATTTGTCTTGGCCAATAACCAACCCACTAGGCTCAGAACAAGTTCATGTGCCAGCGATTCACCTGGGACTCTTTTTTTTTTTAAGATTAAAAAAAAAGATTTTATTTATTTATTTTTTAGAGAGAGGGGAAGGGAGAAAGAAAGGGAGAGAAACATGGATATGTGAGAGAAACAATGATTAGTTGCCTCTCACCTGCCCCCAGTCAGGGACCCAGGCACGTGCCCCAACCTGGAATGGACCCTTTTTGCGGGACAATGCCCCACCCACTGAACCACACTAGCCAAGGCTCATATGGGACTCTTGAGGGTGATCTGTATGACTGTATCATGGACATCTGAAAGCATCCTTTAAAAAAAAAATCTTTTTCTTTTCTTTTTTTTTTTTTTTACTGAGAGATCCATTGATCTACATTTACCACTTGGGTTAAAGTGTGTGGGTCAAAGATCATAAAGGTAAAAACCAGAAGGTAAAGTTGGGAGAGCAGGCGAAGGAGGAGAAAGTAGAGTTTTAAAGTTAAGATGGTCTGAGTACCAGTCCCTCATTTGTTTTTAAAATGCAACAAAAGCACTGGGGCCAGGGCTATGTACAGTTTATTTCCCATTATGATAATAATTTAGAGTTACAACACTACATTTTAAGGTTCCGTATACTTTTTTCCAATGAATAAATGTATTCTTAATTATAGTTTATGCACATATTTTATCAGTTTTAGCCCACAACATAGTGATTCAACATTTATATGCCTTACAAAGTGATCACAGCAATAAGCCTATCGATCATGTCACCATACATAGTTATTATGATATTATTGACTCTATCCCTATGCTGTACATTACATTCCTATGACCTATTTTATAACTGGAAATTTGTATTTCTTAATCTCCTTCCCTTTTTAAATATACTTTATTGATTATGCTATTACAGTTGTCCCATTTTTTTCCTCTCCTTTATTCCCCTCAAACGTGTAACCCCCTCCCACCATCATTCTCCTACCTTAGTTCCTGTCCATGGGTCGTACATGTAAGTTCTTTGGCTTCTCCATTTCCCATACTATCCTTAACCTCCCCCTGTCTATTTTGTACCTACCATTTATGCTTCTTATTCCCTGTACCTTTCCCCCCATTCTCCTCCGCCCCTCCCAGCTGATAACCCTCCATGTGATCTCTATTTCTGTGAATCTGTTCCTGTTCTAGTTGTTTGCTTAGTTCATTTTTGTTTTTGGTTTTGTTTTTTTAGGTTTGGTTGTTGGTAGTTGTGAGTTTGTTGTCATTAATCTCCTTCTCTTTTTGTGCTCAATCTCCCATTACCTCCCTCTCTCAACCATCACTTCGTTCTCTTTATCTATAAGTTAGTTCCTGTTTCATTTTGTTTATTTGTTTTTGTTTTTTAGATTTTACATACAAGTGAAATCATATGG